TCGACCTGCCCGCCCTGGGTCACAAGGAGGTGCGGGGGGTGGGGGCTTGTCCCTGGTCTGGGGGGCCCTGAAGGAGCCCACATCTCCTTCCCCAGCTCGAGTTCCAGCTCCTCTGAGAGTGAGGACGACATGGTGGCTGCAAGGGGCGAGCAGGGCCCAGCGGAGGGGGTACCTCCCTGCCCACAGGGCCTCAGGTAACCAATCACACAGGTCTGAGGGGGCAGGGCCTCAGGTAACCAACCACATGGGTCCAAAGGTGCAGGGCCTCCTGGGCCCTAACGGAGGTGCTCTCACTGCTGCAGGGGCTGCACTGGGAAGAGCCAACTGCTCCAGCAGCTCCGAGCCTTCCGGAAAGGGACAGCTGTGCCCAGGTCATTTACTGGCAAGAATCCCAGCGGTCAGAAGGTGCAGGACCCCAAGGAGGTGGCCGAATCGGGCCCGAGGAGGAAGCAACACGTCAAACTCTGGGCCGAGAGACAGGATATCCCTGCCACATCTGCAGGAGGAAACCCCAGGGCGCTGAGTGGCCCTCTTGTGCCAGCCACGGGCAGAGAGGCCAATGCGCTGCCTCTGGGCCAACCGTAGATGCCTCAGGTGAGGGTCCTGAACAACTTGGTAGAAACCTGACTGGGATCCCCCAGTGAGTACCCTCTGGCCCTCCATGGAAGCATTCTACAGTCAGAGCAAGGGTGCCCACCCGCATGGGCCTGGGGAAGTGGGTGACAGGTCCAGGGGACCAGGCACCCCCACCACCTAGACTGGACTGGAAGTCCACCACTGCAGTGGCTTTACCAGGCAGTTTTGGGTGGCCAGGGTCCTCCTGATCTCTTCCCGCTTCTATGTCATCCCTTGCAGGGAACCTCTGCTCTCTGTGGGCGCATGCGCTCTCTGAAACAGATGTCAAAAAGGGTCCAAAGCCTTCCGGAATCCCAGGGCTGAGGCAGGGCTGGGGAACTTTCACTCTGGTCCTCCCTCCGGGCCTGGGCACTTAGTGTCTCATGTGTCAAATGAGCAGGCACAGACCTGAACACAACACATGGTATATTCGTACCACACACACACTCCATGTGTATACATCACACAGATGCATACCAAATACAATACACACCACATGTACACACCACACAAACACACATCACATTTACCCAACAAATACTCCGCATACAACACACAAATACACATATACATACTGTTTGTCTGGGTTGACAAAAACAAATTCATACACACTCGTGTAAGAGAGAGCTTTATATCAAAGAACAATTGTATATTGAGAAAACATCCCAGCCCAGATCAAGTCCCTAAGTCCGATATTGGCCCATATGTTGGATACCAGTCTATAAATTCCTCTTCAGACG